GCCATATTGGTAATGGCAAAACAGAGGGAGCGGCCATATTGGTAATGGCAAAACAGAGGGAGCAGCCATATTGGTAATGGCAAAACAGAGGGAGCAGCCATATTGGTAATGGGAATGAAAAGCAATAGGCAAAATGTGAATGAGGAAAATAAAACGCCATAAATTCCATAGAGTGCTGTTTTGTGGCCCATAATCAAAGTGCAATACTGAATTGGGTATCTCTCTGAGTATTTTGAACAATGGCACATGGTTATCTGTGGGTCATCCCTCATGGCTGTCTGAAAGAGGGTTTTAGTGTTTGCTGCTGGTGTGCTCCTCTATAAACAGAAACGCCTTGGAATTCACTAGTGTAAACAGAAGGAAGAAACATTCACTTGCACTGCCCTCTGTAGGGACATTTGTATAGTGTGTCCAGCTTTGGGAAACAACCTGGAATGGTTGAGTACAGGTAAATATCTCCTTCCTCCATATAAGGGTTGGAACTCCAGTTCTTTAAAGAGTCAAATATTTTGTATTTTCGAGATTCAAAGTGTCTAATCCAATATATTTTTTTTAAATACTGTATTTGATATAGGTGTTTACCTTTTTACATAAGAACAATTTTACACAAGAAAGACACAAAAGGGGATATCTGTTTTTAAAATTCTGAAGCACGTAATTAATTGCCCAGGCATGCAATATTGTTAATTATTATATAGTACAAGTATATATTTACAGAACTTTAGAATATTAAAAACAGGTAATAAAACCGCAAGTACAAAATACTGCCTTTTGCAAAGCTGAAGACCAAGCAGTTGATTCTGAAATTCTACTATAGTTACAGCATGGATATTTTAGCCTACATTTTGCAATTTGTATTTTAATGGGTTACAACTTTTTATTTAATGAATAAATCCCATGCTGGGTCACACCTGCTTCACTCAGTATTACAGTGCAATCTATGTTTGTCTGCTGGCTCAGTCACTGTGCACATTATTTCCTTTGTATAATGTTGTGTATTTAGACTGGAATGGACCAGTTACCTGATATGGATCCCACTTAGGACTATAAAACCATAAGTTAATATTTTCAGACTAGTGAACATCATTTCTGCACCATTTTCATTCTGGCTAC